AAGTTACAGTAACAGATAAATAAATGACCAATAAGCACGTGGCAGATGCTCCATGTCATCAGTACAGAATAAAGCTACAGAAGATCCCACTTCACCCCACAAAAATGGCTACAATTTAAACACTGATGACATAAAATATCAGTGAGGAAATAGAGAAACTGCCCCTCATACTGTGCGGATATAAAACAGTGCGGCCCTTTAGAAAGCAGTCGGCAATTTCTTGTGATGCCAACACGCATCTAACCATTTAACCCAGACGCTCTACTACTCACTTTACCTGAAGACTTGGAAATGAACGTCCACGGGAAGACTCCCTGAAAGGATGTCCACAGCTGCTTTATGTATCTTGCACGAAACTGGCAAGAGCCCCCAAGTTCACGGCTACAGTTGTGACACACTAAGCCATTGGAACACTGCTCAGCACAAGAAGGAAGTTCTCCAACATCCCCCCAGCAAAAAATGTGGGTTAATCTCACAAACACTGTGTTGAAAGGAAGAAACCCAGAGAAAAGAGTGTTTGGTCTGAGTCCTCTTCTGGGAAGGCTGTGTGGTAGTTACCAGCACAAGGGTGGCCCTGGGGGAACAGTTAGAAAGAGAAGGATTTCAGGAGTTATGGAAACGCTCTGCAGTTTTGGTGAGGCAGTGGTTACACAAATGTATCTACTTGTCAGAACTCACAGGCTGAATACGTATAAATCCTGTGTGATACTGTTTGCAAATTGTACCTCAATCACCTTTTAGTTTAAAGCCCTTCAGAATGGCTCAGAATCTAACTCCCCCCATTTCTACGAGACCACGAGTGTTAACTGTTATGCAGACTAGATGGTGATAACAAAATGAATTTATATTCCAAGACAGAAAAGAGACATGTTGCTGGATGTTAATGCCACAGACTCCATCTGAAACCCTCTAGGGGGCAGGTCATAAATATGATTTTAATCTCTTGCTCCTGATTAACTGGGGAAAGAGGACTGAGCAGTGTGAGGGGGGCAGGGGTAAAATGGTCCCTCAGCCTGAATTGCTGGGGGACCTCCTTGTCAAAGAGCAGGAGGAGGAGACGCCCTCAACTCCAAGGCTGGGGATCAGCCTTGTTCCAATCTCCTTGAAAACACCGTGTAGATAGTTGAATAGAAAATTGTCATTTCAAAGCAGGAAGCAATTGTTGTCTTTTTGGAAAATGAGCACTTGGAAAGGCATTTGGGCCAGTTGGGTCCTTTTTCCTGGGCACAGAATGGGGACATTTGATTATGCATTTGCAAATCAAAAACCATCATCCCAAAAGCAAGCATTGGAGAGTTGTTCTGTTGCAAGCGTGGAGGGTGCAGACTGTGAAGACAGGATGTACAGGGTGAACTGTGTGTATAGAACGGACAGGGTGAGGCCCGGCTGAGTGGCTCAGTTGGTTAAGAGCTTGCTCAAGAGTTTGAGCTCTGAGCAACAGCAGTTCGAGTCCAGCCCGAGCTGAGCAGCCGCTGA